TTTGTTTGAAAAATGTATGCAATTCTCTTAATTCGATGAAAGAGTAATTCAGTTAAATTTTAGCTCACTTGAGTGGTGAGGCGAGGAGTCATGACTCATAGAAATTAGATTTTGATGATATTCTGCATCCCGGTAGCCTATGCTGTTGTTGCTATGGTCACCATTCAACCGGCATATCTTCGAATTGCCACCATAGCACATGTTCAATCTGTGATTGCTTTCGCTTTCCTCACTTTGGACGGATAGCGACTTGCTCGGACAACACGACATGGCTGCGCGATCTCCATTCGGCGTGGTCAAATAACCTTCAGGCCCAGCACCGACGCACAAGTCATTCCCACGATTTCCGGAAAAAACTCCGGTACCATTCATGAGAGCCCATGACTCTGCCACTTGACTGTTGGTCACCCCATTGACTGGCCGCAGTATTCCGGCATCGTAGCCGGTCTCGTTTCTGAGCAGATGCTGCTGCGAATGGAAATGTGAATGATGATTCTGGTCGGATGCACTCATCGGATGCTGGTAGCTGGCGTTTGTGTGCAGATGTGAATGAAGGTGTGCATCGTGTGGATGATAGTGTGAAGACTGTCGATGATGCCGCTTCTTGACTCGGTGCAGTACACAACCGAGGACAATGCTGAAGCAGGCGAACATGCTGATGGCCGAGATGAGACCGACCAAGATGGCAGTCAACGAAGAAGTCTGTGTGGAATTGGCGTCTGCGTCGGCTTGCCGAATTTCTCTGTCCGTGGCCAACTGGTCGCTGCCACTTTGGCTGGAGGCCATCGTGGAGCTGACGACGGACGGACGGGAACGACCAGATTTTGCTGTTGTTGAGTTGCTGGGACGGTTTCCTCCATGCACTGTAAATCCCTCCGACCATTCGCTAGTTGTGCAGAGCAGGTTGAGCCCCTTTAGCTAAGCGGCGATGAAGAAAAATGAAAATATTTCAAATTATGGGTACATTAATTTATAATAATTAATGTTTTGAGCTAAAAGGCCATTGATAAATATGAATGTAATAATTGGGTAATGATGATTAATTTTAGGTACCAATTTATATATTTTATTTTTATTTTTATTCTTTCAAAATTAATGTTAATTTTTGATATGGTCGAGAAAAAAAAGTGCATGAAAAATCCACTAACAGATTTTAGGCGATCGTATTTTTTAGGAATTATTTATCAAAGCTTTCATATCCCCTTTTGTCAGCAAGGTGAAATAAATATTTGATTTAAAAAAAAATTAAAATATTCCTCCTAAACTATACCCACAGTGTAAACTGAAAAATTGTTTGTTTCTGAGTTTATGATAGATCATCCAACCAACCGCATGTATTTTTAAAATGATTTATTACTGAAACGACTATACGAATAATCATCTTTGTAAGCGTATTTTTTATTGTTGTATCTGCTGCCTTTCAATACTTTAAATGAGACAACCATCTTCATCAACCATTATTGGGTGCGCCTGAATGGGCCGACAACAGATGGCCACAGCACAACCCAATAAGAGAACGTCCAACTGAAATGCTTTGATAATAGGCCTACAGATGATTCTAACTAGTAGCGTCCAAAAGAAGATACAATACATGCCATAACCTCGCTATCGGCTACTTACATGCCAGAGAATGAAAGAGAATAATTGCTTCAGACAATTATGGCTTATTTCGCTCGACAGCCTTCGATAAAGCTTATCTCATTAGTCCGTCTTGGCAGACATTTGTCTCCACTGCTTAAAAAGACGTATAATCAACTTTATGTCTATAAAGTTGGCTTACAAAAACTCGGTCAAATCTTAAATGACCAAAATGTAGTAACAATATCTATTTAATAGTACTTCACATGCTCCTATATATAAACCCGTATATCAACCTATAAAGACTAGGTTGCAAACCGAACTTAATTGTATAATTAAATTAAATTTTCAATGAATATCCAAGAAAAATTAAATTAGCTCTATTTGCCAAATGAGCTCATATATGAATTGATTGGTTGGCTCTAATTTGAAGAATAAGTAAACAAATAAATCACACCTATTCTTGTTGTAACTATGAACCATATGTGACTGCGTTTCATACATATACATGCACTTTGATGTTCCTTATTGCATGGTGATTTCATAAAATCATGCTAGACGTGTAATACTGTCAGATTTCGTTGCATTTTAAATTAAGCTAACGTGTGCGACAGCTTCTAGTCATTTATGAAAGTATAAAATACTTCGTCCAAAATCTATATATTTACATCAATTTAATAAATGTGTCGAGTGTTTGTTACAAAAAGATTCTTGGTAATTTAAGCTTTGCATAAAGTTAGCTATATTTCGTTGTAAGAGTTTATACTTTATACTTTGTTTTTATCATATTGACTGTAAAATGATAATTTGGCGAGCTTTTCAAAATTGTTTGCAATTAAGTGGAAAAGTTTACGAGTAAAGTTGAGATATTTTATTATCTTTGGTTCTTATAAGAGGGATTACATATTGAATCTTCTCTATGGAATCGAGCTCAGTGATAATAATTCATTAAGTAAATAGAAAAAGATGTTAAATTAATCTGAATATATTATGATCCGTTGCTATTATATAG